GGATCTAGGGAGGAGTTCTCTGTCGAGAACGAAGAAGACGCCAGACAACGGACAACCTTGTCTGACTCCCCTCTGTAGGGAGAAAAAAGTTGAAGCATGACCGTTATTCAGAACACAACTGGTAACATTATTGTAAAAAAATTTTATCCAATTTTGAATGTCATGGCCGAAGTTGAAGAGCTAACGTGTTTCTAAGAGATAGTTCCATTCAATGGAATCGAACGCTTTTTTGAAGTCCAAGAAAATGGCAATACCTTTTTGATTTAACTTATCTGCGTAATGTATTAAGTCGTAGATTAGCCTTACATTTTCAGCAATGTAGCGGCCTAACCAGTTTTATCGGGGTTTGTTAACGTTGGCAAGACTTTTTCAATTCTCTTGGCTATAACTTTAGCGAGAATCTTGTAGTCGACGTTCAGTTCGTTCAGTGGTAGATTTACAGACCGGTTGTTTTGAAGATTCCATAGTTATATATTTGTGAAAGATGCACCAATAAAGCAGAAAGACGATACGGTTCTGTTATGGAGAACAATTGTAAATACTAAGTTTCTGGTAATTTCTAAAATGTTTAGTCACGTAATGTTTGTACCAGAGCCTGGTACAAATATATGAACAATGACGGCACTGTCCTCTTATCGAAATATAGTTTGGTTTGAAAATATAAGCTGAATGTGTGGTGAAATTGATGGATTCTTTATCATAAAAGAAAGAGTTAGCCCACTTAGGAAGCTGTAGAACTCTACCGCCTCCTGCGTGCTTTAGAACAGTACAAAGCACAGTCGAGGCTTTTTTATTTGTTGAATCCAATGTACAAATATCACATTTATATGGATCAATTGCACTTTTTTAAAATTCATTATTATTATTTTTTTTTTAAACTTAACTTCAAAACTGAGGAATGACTTTTGAGGTCACCTTAATGAGAAATTATTGCTCATATAAAAATTGTTTTTCAGGGAGCTAAAGCTGTTGTTCTAATTTCTTCCTGTTTACGTCCGGCGACGGCGGAACACTGTTCCACAGCATATCCATTACGATATCCTGAATAAAAGGCCGTTTGGAGCAAAAGCTGCACACCATCTTTGCAAGATAACGAATCCTTATCATCGAATCTGACAGGTGTCATTCAATGCCTGAAATAAGCAACCGAAAAGGACAGTTTGCCCGTCATGCCTGTGTCATTGAACAGGAAATCACCATAAGTCTACCTACGCAGTAGTCTGTAATCTCATAGAATATTAATGCTTCGCTTCCCATCGCCTTCTCTCTCTCCTAAAGTAAATCGGTCATTCCGTTAAAAATGAAAGAGTGGAAAAGAAATATTGCCAAGTTTTCAAACAACCATTTCAAAGCGAGACTTGAAAATATCTTCAACATTGACTGCCATTTCGAATGAGATTCAGTCGACGACGCCGTAATTATGAGGGCTGCCGTTGACGTTGGATAAAATGACACGACAGCTAATTCGTTCGGTTCGTAATATTAATTTGCATGACAAAAATAAAGCTTAAACCAGGATATTCGATCTTAGGATCACCATATTACCAACAGAAATACAAAATATGAAAATAATAATAATAATAATAATAATAATAATAATAATGATGATGATTTTTTTAAAAAGGTTACTAAGACAGTATGGAGCACAAACTACATTGAGAACATTCGTGACCAATTAACATTTTTATCATCTAAAACGTTATCACGTCACGTCTCTGAGCCAGTTAAATCCCGCCTTCATCCAATATAAATAGACCAGTGTTTTATGCCCAACAAAATAGCATCTGAGAGAACATTGAATGAGCAAGATAGTAAACATACGGATATCAGTAAACTCGGGCAACAATGAATGGAACTCATGATCAGCCAGCGAGCTGCTTCAGCGATCTTGCAGCAGGGAGAATTGGAAAAACCTTCGCTTACTGCCTGATATTCATTGTTTCGTTGGTTGGGAATACTTTAATCGGAATAATCGTCTACAAGACAAAAACAATGAGAACAAGCACCAACTTTCTGCTAGTAAACATGGCCATGTCCGATCTGCTGTTACCGATTTTCCTGTTCCCGAAGGTTGTAGCAGAATTGTATGTCGACTCCTGGCTGATAAGCGGACCTCTTGGTCAGGTCTTGTGTAAGCTGCATATCTTCGTTTCTGATGTCTCCGCAACGGTTTCTACTCAGAGCCTAATGCTGATAGCGGTAGATCGATTTGGAGCTGTGGTATTTCCCCTCCGTTCTCCGCTCATCAACCCTAAACTTTGCCTCTTCTTCATTCCCGTCACTTGGATCATCGCGATGGCTATCCAGTCCCCACATCTCTTCGCCTTCAGACTTGTTGGATACCCTGGGAAGCTAGTTTGTGCACGGGTTTGGAGTGGAGCCTTTGGAGAGTCCTCGTCCCTTGCAAATTACGCTTTGGCAATATTTGTTGTATTCCTTTATACCCCTTTGGTTCTAATGACTATACTTTACTTCATTATTGTTTTGAAGCTTAAGTCACAGCCGACTCCAGGCGAGCATTCGATCAACGCTGCACAGCAACGAGAGAAAAGGGAAAGAAACCTGTTAAAAATGGTCGTTGCTATTGTATTAAGTTTTGCATTATGTTGGGTGCCATTTACTATTTTTATCTTAGTAGCAAAAGTGTCCTGTAGCACCATACATTATTTTTTTATTGTGCTGATCGCCGCGCGCGCAAATTGTGCTATTAACCCTTGCATCTGTTTAATTTTTAGTCGAAATTACCGCCAAGGTCTTAAGAGCCTGTTCAGTTGTTTTTCGTCCCTGCAAACAAGTAATGAAGTAGCACCAGTTGGTTCGTAAAGTAATCTACCAATATATAGTCTAAGATTACTCTTAGGAATTATTTTAAGTAGGCTTATGATATCGATGCTCTATTCGTAAGAAACAAGCAGCATATAATCCAGCTGACCAAGTTAGGGGCAAGTGATGTCGTAGGGAATAGCCACAATCTAAAAGCTATCAGATAAAATGTCTTTATTGGACTCTATTTGTATTGTATTGCATGGTTGGAATATCAGATCGTGAAAAAATGTTATATGGCAAGAAAAACAAGGCTTCTGGTCCGTCTTATCAAACAAAGTTTCCTTCTTAATTTGATGATTCTGAATTCTAATTCTGCGTCACCCAATGCGGTCAGAAAACGACTGCAAGATGAGTGTATGTAAAAGTTAAAAAAATTGAATAACAAAAGATTAAAACATGGAACTGAAAATTTGTAAAAATTAGAATTGGTAACAAATTTACATTAAAAAAGCAGCCGAGAAAGACAATTAAGTGAAAGTTTCCAAGATAATTATCGTTCATCTGCAAAGCAAACATTAGAAACAGAATATTGTCATGTGTATTCACTCAAATTTAAGGTACTTACTTATTATAATTTATTCATTGGAAAAATTCTAGGGAACGGTTTTTAACCTTACTTTCATGTTTCAGTTGTAGATTTGAACATTCCAT